AAAGTGTACGTTTCTTTTCTACATCGATTTCCTCTGAATTCGAACACTCTTTCCGGCGACCGTAGAAAATGCGGAAAAGAGGAGAGACATTTTTATTTAACTCGCGTTTCTCAAAATCAAAATTAAATAAGATAAAATAAAATAAAATAAAATGATATGAATTGGAATTGAATTGGAATTGAATTGAATTAGAATTGAATTGGAATTAATTGAATTGGAATTAATTGAAATTGAATTGCAATTGGAATTGAATTGAATTGAATTAGAATTGAATTAGAATTGAATTGGAATTGAATTGGAATTGAATTGAAATTGAATTAGAATTGAATTGAAATTGAATTAGAATTGAATTGGAATTGAAATAAAAATTCGCAGTCCAGCGACAAGACAAGACTGTATCATCGAATTACGACGGATCTCGCGCTGCATTTGTCGATGCAGATCGCGGCGACCGGCCGGCTGATAAGGCCCGAATTGTAATCGAATCGCGCGACGCGGGTCGTTCCGTGACGCTCCACCTCAATTAGAATCGATTAGCCGCACGAACGGGCTTGTGCTGTCTTTCCGTGCGCGGCAACGTCTTCGCCCCGGAGGATTCGCTAGGAATTTCGCCGCGTGGCTCGGCCGTGAACGGACGCCGAGCAAGTGAGAAAAAGACGAGGAGGGGGAAGGGGAAGGGGAAGTGGAAGAGGAAGAGAAGGGACGGGAGAGAATACCGTTTGTCGTTTTAAATCGCGCCACGTAACACGTTTTCGCGAAGGGTTTCCTCACGTGACCCGCGAAACATTTTACGTTACACGGCGCACAATTCGTTTTCACGAGCCGCCAATTCGGTCGGCTGCGTTCATACCGGACTACGGGCACGGACGGAGCACGATTAGAACACGTTGACCATAACCTCGCACGAGATCCGAGCGTGGCAATCTTCTTTCGAATTTTTATTTCAATTCAATTCAATTCCAATTCCAATTCAATTCTAATTCAATTCAATTCTAATTCAATTCTAATTCAATTCTAATTCAATTCTAATTCAATTCAATTTTCCAATTCAATTCCAATTCAATTCCAATTCAATTCCAATTCAATTCCAATTCAATTCCAATTCAATTCCAATTCAATTCTAATTCAATTCAATTCCAATTCCAATTCAATTTCAATTCAATTCCAATCCAATTCCAATCCAATTCCAATCCAATTCCAATTCAATTTCAATTTCAATTCAATTCCAATCCAATTCCAATTTCAATTCAATTCCAATCCAATTCCAATTCAATTTCAATTTCAATTCAATTCCAATCCAATTCCAATTCAATTCCAATTCTTTCGAGCGAATAATCGAGAAACACATTCGCGAGATCGTTGGCCTACGAACTGCCGTAATTTCGTCGGAGAGAACGAGCTTAAAATGAGCATACATTAATGCTCATCTGAATTAGCGCGACATTCAAAAGCGCGAAACCTGTTGCACGTTTAAATTTAATTACAATTATATCGTAAATTACAAAGCAAATCGATCGCACGGTCGGGTCAAAATGACCCGCCCACCGTGTTTCGAGGATTAATGAGTAATGAATGTACTCTGTGCAAATAAGTGTACTTTTGAGATCGCAGTAGGGTTGAAAAAATGGCAGCGGGTTTGACGGCACTGCGAAGAGGAGGGGGAAGAGGGGAATTTTTCCAAGAGTACTGTTTGCCGAACGGGCCCCGAACCTCTGTTTACGGACCCCGGCGGGATTATTGCCCGCCACGCACAGTATCATTACCTCGAATTATACGTGCCGCGCACTGCGCGCGATTTCTATCGTGACGAACGGCCGTAGCCGTCACGTCGGTTAAAAGAGAAAACCGTGCCGGTCGCGTTACCGGAACAAGAAAAAAGGAACGCCGCTGATTCGGGCCTTGTGTTACTGAGTTCCGCGTTACCGGTGAAAACGCAGCTGGCCGAATTCGCCTCGGACTCGGAACTCTCGCGAAAGAAGCTTCGAGATTCGAACTCGGCGCATTGAATTACCGATCGTCGCTGAACTGCTCTAATTTTCGAACAGAGACTGCCTTGCGACGACAAATCAGAACCCGTTCGAAAACTTTGAAGCCTTCGCTTTTATCGTGCACCGCTCGTTTTCTTCTAATTTACGCTCGCATAATACAGGATGTCCGAAAATTATTGCACGAGAAAAAAATGACGGGTTCCTGGGGTCATTTCGAGCAACTTTTTCCTTTACAAGAATTTTCTGCGAGGCACCGTTAACGAGTTATCAACGAAAAAGCAGCGACCAATGAGTAGGCGAGCTCGGCTGGCGCGAGGCGGCCGCGCCAATCAGCGGAACTGGGCTTCGCGCGCTCGTTGGCTCGGCCGCCGCGCGCCAGCCGATCTCGCCTCTCATTGGCGCACTGTTTTTCGTTGATAATTCGTTAACGGTGCCTCGGAGAACATTTTTGTAAAGGAAAAAGTTGCTTCGAATGACCCGAGGAACCCGCCACTTTCGGATTGCGAGACATTCTTGGGACACCCTGTATACGTTAATAATAAATCATTGTTAAAATTCCGCGGGGAACAGAAATTATTCGCATCTCGATCTACTAGATTCTAGACTCGTCATACAAATTTCTAACAATAAAAAAAATATTATTATATATAATATTATTATATAATATATATATATAATTATATTATATTATATTATATCATATTATATTATATATATATTATATATATAATATTATATATTATACATTATTATATAATATTCTGTCCTTGAAAATTCGAATAAAATTCTGATCCCTTGCGATCGATATGTAAGCATTCGAGTAACTATGCACACAGCGATAAGCATTGATTTTCTTTCCCTTCTACGAAATTATTGCAATCGAATAATTTTCTAATCGCAGCAACTGCGAAGAAAATGGCGTGTCAGAAAAAATTAAGAAAGAGATTAAGAAAAACTTGCAACGGAAAATCCGATCGTACATCACCGAACGGTTTTCTAACGCCGATTTCCAAAAATTCACGGTCCGACTGGTCGCAGATATTCGTTTAAACTCGGCGAATTCGAAAGGCATTATTAAGTCGGCGCTGTTCGAACGGCGAATTTCGTTGCGCGTTCGATGAAGGACTCTCTGGTGCAACGCGATTGCAGGCCGGGGTTTTGCAGCGCGCGTGCAACGGGTATATCCCGGCTGACTGCGTTATCGTCTAGGACATCGGTTTTAATTGGCCGCGTTGCAAAATTCAGGAAAGAATCATCGGCGAGGAAAAAAAACAAGGAAAAGCAGGCCAACCCGGCATTTCAATTTAACCCCATCGGGTTCCAAAAGCAGGTCGTTGCTAACCGCGATAGGGTTGAACTGATTTATCCGAGGGTGAATTAATTTCGCTCGGTCGTGTCAAACTTGCCAAGAGAAAGTCTTGCGCACCGTGCCTGTCAACTAAGTTTCAGCGAAATTCCAACCGGATCGAATTACGTTCGAGCATCGAACATTTCTTCTTGTAATCGTTCATTTCAATCGATTAGGATACGATTATTCAACGATATATTCGCGTTCGTAGCTACAATATTTGACTACAGTCTTGACTAGAGTATTTAATAATTATTATTAATATTATTATTTTTTTTTTACTATTATTATTATTATTTAATAATTAGTGTCGTTTCTTAATATAATTAATCTTGACATAACCTCGACATAATCTTGACATAATCTTAATATAATCTTGACATAACCTGTTTTTAACCCTAGCGTTGGGCACAAGTAGCTGAAAACAACGGCAACTATATCGTTGATCGAATTGTTTTGTTTCGTTTAAATAAATCAGTTTTAAAAATGTATCGGAAAACGACATTAATTATTACTAGACCTGATATGTTCAATCGTCCCTAACCGTTCCGTAAACTTCGAACGTTCGAAGGTCTTTCACGAAAATCCCGTCGAAAGGACAGTTCGATTCGAAATATAACCTCTTTCGTCCTCGAACTTTCTCCATTCGCAATTCTCCCAGCGAAATCAAACGGACAAACGTAGCTGCACTTTTGAAGGTTAATTTCAACTCGCGGAGGTTCGCACGACGAGAAATTCGCCGCACACGTCGCCAGATTTCAACGATTTTCTGAATTTTCAAAAAAGAAAAGAGTGTCTCGCGCCGCGAACGTCGCGTTAAAAATCCTCGTTTCGCGGGCGAGAATCGTGCCGCGAACCGTTTAGGGCTGTGCGATGATGCATCTCGTATTTGTATACAAACACGTGTGTGTCCGGTCGGTCCTAATCGCCGACGTTCGTCCGGACGTGTTTTTCAAACTCGAGAGCCCCGGCCGCGAACCGTTTTGGGTTTCCGTGTCGGTTCGGTTTTACGAGGGAGTCGAAACGAAAACGGCGGCGGCCGCTCGACCGCGGCAACGTCGTTCGACGACGGCGACGGCGACGGCGAGCGAAAATTCGTGACAGGATCGCGTCGGCGTTGTTTTCTCTAACGTTTCGGGAAAACTGTTAGAAGAAACCGAATGCGCCAGGACGGAAATAGAACGCGATAAAAATACGCGATGCTTTTGCTCGTGGACGTCGAACGCGGGGAAGCGGATATCGCCGTCGGACTCGTCGTTCTCTGTATCGCGGCGGGTGAAATGATCGAATCGCGGAAATTATCGAAAAGAACGGGTGGTTTTCCTTTGAAAATCTCTAAGATGGACAGAAAGCGAACAATTTCTTCGACGGAAAAAACGCGCGTTGCTGGTTCTTTACTGCAACGATTATTTAATCGTCCAAAAAAGAGAATAAAGCCGACCGAGCCTGTTCGTTTCGACGGGACGAATCGTACGTAATATACGAATCAAAAATAAAAGACGAAAAACCGATCTAAACCGAAAACGGTCCAGCCAGCCAGCCAGCCAGCCAGCTGAGAGGAAAAAGAATGATGCTTGTCAGCCTGGCAGACGACGTGCCGTCCGCGTGCTCGACGAACGCTCCGACAATCGATGCAATTAATCAGATTTCGTGACAGTACTCACCAGCATACGAAAGCGCGGGCAGCTTTTGTCGAACCGGCGAACGAGTGAAACATCACTATCAATGATTCGCTTTAATTTATAGCGGGATAAGGAGAAAACTTGCGACGAACCGCAGCCATACCGTATGGCAGCACGACGAAGACTGCCTCTATCAACCGAAAGACGAACTAAACCGAGTACATGCTCGAACAAAAGTTCTGACCTTGCCGCGGATATCGAGGCCCCGCCTTTTATTGTCTGTACTATATGCTGAGCGGCTTGCGCGCGATGAAAGCCGCGGTTACTAATTTATTGCTGATATATCGTGAGACGATTTATTGCGCTGCTTGATCGCTATTCGTTCATTCAGAATGCCTATAATACGATGCTTATTATCCGGTTTGATAGAACGGTAACGGGGATCTTCAAAAACCAGTCGATTTAAGAATTGCTGTACATTGTATATTTTTTAACATACGTTACAGATACTTATATATGTATATATATGTATAATCAGTCAGACTAAAGTTACTTCATCCTTTTTGCATACTTGTCTTCCAGGTCGTGCAATTTTGTATCCAATTCTGCCATGGAGTACGTCTGAAATTGTGATTAATTTTGTTCGAATCAATGTACATGAAATTCAGCTTTTCAGCAAAAGCGTGCTACTCACCCTTTTTCTGACTGGCTTAAAGGTTCCCTTGAGGCTGTTGATATCCTCTGACTTCTGCAAACGAACAATGTTTAGAGAATAAATATTTTGAAGCGAAGGGAAACTTTTGAAGAGAGCGATTCTCTAAAACAATGCGCAGTGAAATTTTTCATTTTTTCTCATGAATTTCCTCTTACACCGTGGATACTGTATTTTTAGTACGCGTAGGTCTTTCTAAGCAAATTTTTCGGTCAGAAATATTACCCAGAAGTCTCTGTATTCGGGAGAAATGCTTTCCATGTACAATATCCTGTCCTCGATATGTTTTAACCTCTCGTACACATCCTTGGGTACAGGTCGATTTATGCCAAGTATCCTTTCGGTGGTTGATATCCTGTCATTCAGCACGGATGAATAATTGTTGTTGATTTGGCACATTCCTGAGACAGTGGCCTTCCGTAAAATAGATTGGTCAACTGTCTGCGGTCCCCATGTGTTAAGTACCCTGTGCACTGAACAAACATTTCAAGTTGTTAACGTTCATAAGTCGAAATGTAAATATTTCTGCTTACCTCTGACATGGCTTTTCGAGTCCTTTCTTCTGATAAGAATCGCGTCTACTCTCGCGCAAGAATCCTCATTCTCCTCGTCTTTTTCTCTAGACACAAAGATGTTAACTTTATTCACTTTTCTTTTTCTTTTTGAAAAGTACACCTACATACTTTTTTAACAGACAATTTACATACTCTATATTCTCGACGATTTCAGCTATAAGGATGAACGAACCTGTGGTAACAGAACTCTTGCACATTCACTATATTTACTTGCTGCCGTTTTCTTTCGATGAACGACGCTATTCGACGGTTTAATTCCTCGTTCGTTGCGCGTATCTGCACGAGATTTGGGTCTACTTCGACATTGGTTGCTTCCTCCTCTTCATCTTCGTCTGCCTCAACGTCGACGCTTTCTATCACAGTTTCTTCGATCTCGTTTGATACCGCGATCTCATCTTCCGATACTTGAAAATCTCTTGCACCAGGTGCTGGTAAAAACGAATTGAATTAGGATTCATCGAGGTTAAATCGAAAGAAGATATTAATACAAAACGGGTAAATAGTAATAAAGTTATATAAATATTTTGTCAACGATTTATTAAAATTTCTATAATCTCAACATAGGATTTGTAAGTACTATTAAAAATATTCAACTGCATCGATACATTATCTTAACGTAACAGGCATTAAAGTTTTCAAAATTCAGGTAACAAGGAAAAGTACTATTTACTGTTCGACCAGGCACATTCTCGATTCTCCTTCCACCGACTCTCGTTCGTGTCGTACACTTCTTTCTTCCAAATTGGTACCGAAGATTTCAGCGTGTTAATAGCATATTCTACGGCTTTTAGCGATTCCTCTCTGTGAAGAGACGAAACTGCGATTACCACGCTTGCTTTCGATACCGATACCTCTCCTAATCGATGGTATATCACAATATGGTGAACGTTCCACTGGGAACGTATTTTCGTGCAAATACCTTTCATCTCTTTTAGCGCCATCGGTTCGTAGGCTTCGTATTCTAATTTTAAAACCTACAAAAGCGTAGACACACGTGTATAAGCCATCGTAACATTCTCCCACCTGTTGTACCCTCTATTTATACCTTTTTATTCTCGAAATTATCCCGTGTAATACCAATAAAATTAGATATGGCTCCACAGTTCGGAGACACTGCCAAATCAATTATTTCCGCAACATTCAGCTCCTCTTGTTGCAACTTGACAATATCGCTTGGCACTCCCATTTTAACCTAGAACAGTCGGTGGTACACGTGAAAATTCTTTTACGTGTTGTATAAATTTTTTTCGTTAAATTTACACAAAATATAAAACAAACCTCCACTGAGCGGCGGAATGACAGCGATTTCGTCCTTTTCGGAGAGCGTTAAGACGGCGTCCACAGGTACAAATTCTTCGTTCACTGCCAAAATGAAAGTATCACGTATACTGTCTAACTTGAAGCGTTCTATCACTTTGTCCACCAAATCGTTATACGATAACGTTCGTGGAAGAGCGATCGTACATTCTGTTTTACCCGTTAGTTCCCTTGCCTTAGCGAAAAATAGAATCTTCATTCGAAGCATTCTATGCTTCGCGATCATCAAGACCGAAGAATAATGTCCTAAGATTCACGGCTATCACGGCTTCCGTTACATAATTACGTTGTAAACCGACGACAGCGGTACTTTATCGAAAAACACGAAACATGGTTATGTACGGTTATGTTTTCCCACGATCAACTCGCCTGGTCAAGACACGATCTATGATGCACAGATCAAAGCGAACCACTTCGCATTTGTCCTGATCGAAAAATACAGAACAATGTATGCACACGATAGAACATAAATTGCGACTGCAATTAAATAATTCGTGCGCGTGACGTGCGTCGATAATTAAATCTTTTTCTTATCGGTATATTTCATATGTAAATCGTATGTATACAGGATATGTAAATCATTCATGTTTACGCAAGTGGGGTATAAAATGATCAGATAGCTAATTACAAGAAAAGAAACAAAAAGTTCTTTTTATCGATGTTATATATGTTATCTTTCACGTATACTTCTTCACGTATACACACTATACGTGTGTACGGAAGAATAATAAGATTGGCGCGAGAAATAGGTTCCCGAAAAGCTGATAGATGCTATACATATAACGTAGATCGACTTGGAGTACCTTGTGCGATATTAAGGTCAAACGGGAAATGGGGTCAACGTAGCAAGGAATCGTACTGTTCCGCTTGCATAATATTCGATGCGCGCGGAATCTAATATATATATTTTCTTGGTACATACATCGAGCAATTAATATTTACGAACGAGCATGTCGCGACATGTTGGAGGAACGTTTCATTCGTGTTCGGGGAAAAATATGCGTTGTACGACATATGTAAACATGTATATATCGTGCCGTATGTACGACAGAACGATATCGGTCGCTCTGTCAGCTCGTAGCTAACCACGCATGGAAATCTAATATCTGTAATACCGAAATTAGAGGTGAGAAACACTCCGTGTGACCCACGATTTTATGATTAACGTTGTTGCACTAGGCGGCAGTGTGTCGATGTGTCAGTATGCGACGGCCTTGGGGAAGCATTTAAATGTATGCATGCGTGCGTGCACAGGCACAATATGCGCTCACGCTTAAGTATAGATGGACACAGCCTGCTAACCCGGAGTCTAAAAGAGTGCAAGGGATCTAGCTCGTTCGCTCGAGCCGGTGTGGGACAAGGACGACGCACGTTAAAAGGAACTTATGTTCCTTTAGCGGTTAGGTAACGCTCCTGAGAACCGTCTCTCTGTGTGTATCACAATCAGAAATCACACGGTAAACCGGTTGGGAACTGTTTCTGTGTACGGACACACGAACATATAGTATACATATATAAGTGTATACAACACGTATGTATACATGTATACGTATACATATATATTTATTCAGAGGCTACCTCGTCGGAGTGCTGGACAGGTGACGCAATAAGGGAAGAAAATTCCAAGATCGTTGCTCAATCGCCGGCAAGCAGTCCCAAAAGACCGATGAATCTCGGTGAATTTTGAGTTTGCGCTTTTCTAACCGATGAAACAGCTCGGACGGAGTGTGTGTGCGTGGACCGAGATAGAGAGAGAGAATGATTACGGACAGGAAGGAACGTTAAGGAGTAAAAGAGAGTTTTAGAAGCGTGCAAAAGTTCGGGAACGGGAGCGTGATCGGCGTCAGAACACACGGTGCACGTCATACGGAAAAGAAGTGCAATCGAGCGAGGTCGTGTGGCGGTGATTATATACCGAGCGCAACGCCGTCGCCGTCGCCGTCGCCGTCGCTGCCGCCGCCGCCAGGCTCCCATCGCTCGAAAAATTCATGACAGCACAGCGTACGTGTTACGTGCGCCTACACCAATGGATCCGTAGAGAGACAACCGTGAGATTCCCCGTGCACGCGGACACGAGCGGCGTCGCGAGCGTCGGTGCGTGCGTTTGCGCCTCCAGTACGAGCGAACACGAGGGCCTGAACGGGAAGCGATCCGATCCACGGGATGGACAAATTGGTTCGTGCAGGTGAGACGAAGATCCCTGAAAACGGCGGCGCGCACGCACGTGTGTCGGGACGACGTGTCCGTTCGTTCTCTCCGGTCTCTCCCCCCCCCCCCCCCCCGCCGTTGTATTATCGGGCCGAACCGTTTAGCGGCACTCAGGGAGCCACCTCGTGTGGCTCAAAGACAACCTTTCCGATAGGGAAGAGAGCCCGCGCGCGAATTCACGAATTGTCGCTGTTGTCGGTCGGTCGGTCGGCTCTCAGCGGCGACCACGACGGCGAGACCGTTGCACACACAGCCACCGCCACGAGTAACAGCATTGCGACACACGACTGTTGACTAAACCGCTTCTCTGTGTCTGTGCATACACGACGTCGCAGGGATTTTCTACGACTATCTGTAATGCGAAATACAACATTTTTTTCTCATTTCTCATACTCGCTCGCTCTCTCTTTCTCTTCCTATCTCGCTCTCGCTCTCTCTCACATTCTCTGTCACACTCAACGCACACACACATACATACAAGCATTCTCTCTCTCTCTCTCTCTCTCTCTCTCTCTCTCTCTTTCTGTCTCTCTGCGCAATTACGTATCGTCCGACGCTGCTGCAACTTCGGACTTTACACCATTCGATAGTGGATCGGACGCAAGTTTCAGAAGAAAAACCGGCGACAGTGTATATTTTCGGAAAGTAGATTCCCGTGATTTCGTAATTCACGCGGTTTCCCACACCTGCGAACACGTGTAGAACGGCGGTCGTAATCGATATTAGGAAAACAAAATAGCCGCCGGTTTACCGACCACCACCGCCGCCGCCGCGGCGTCGTTTCTGCCAGTTGCAAAATAAAAAAAAAAAGTCTATTGTGCTGTAACACAGAGGCACAAACTCGATCGTGCGCGCCGATAACGCGGTAATTATTGCCAATCCTAGCGCGTTCACGCGCGCGCGCGCCCGCGTCTACGACGATTTTTAACCTTGCGGAGGAAAACAAATTGAAAATGATTCATCGGTTTCTCGGGCGGTCGATACACGTGGGCCGCCGGATCGATTTGGTCGAAAAGAAATTTGTATTTATAAACCGGCGAATCATTGCTAATTATCTACGCTGCCGCTGCTACTATTCTCAGATAAGACTATTAAAAATATACCCGTTCGATTGTAATTTTCGACGCTGAAAAAATATTCGTCGCCGGTCGGCTATGAAAAGTTTCGAAGAAAAACGACCCTTCGTTCCCCCTCCACCGTCGACAGATAACGAGAACCCGCGTTACGGTATCTCGTAATTTACGGCGAACCGATATTTTTTTCGACCGACGTCCGTCCACGTTAATTTCGAAGATATACCAGTGCTGCGCGCTTGCGGAACGGAACTTCGTCACAACGGTGGGACAATTACTCATCTATGCGCGCGAGAGCAGCAAACGGGACAACGGCGCGGTTCAAGTTCCCGTAACACAACGAACGCAGGAGACATATATATATACGGGCCGATAAAAACCGATCGACAGGCATATCGGTGACCCGATAAGCGCGTCGTCGTCCCCTATTGTTCGAAAATTCGAGTTTCTAATATCGCTGGAAAATCGTTTGGTCGTGTTTCAACACGAAACCCATGATGATGTCATACCGCAGTGCGCACCAAAACGGCGTCGAGATTTAACGTCCTTGGCGGGGCAAAATAGTGGTGTTTCACCGCGTGGTGGACATGGTTCCTGTACCGAGTACCGTTCGACGTACCGATTTAACAAACCGAAACGCATCGAACTTCCCCGTTCCGTAGGAAAACGCGCGTGCGAATCGCGTTGTGCGCAGTACACGCGGCCAACGGTAATTCGCGGGCGCAACTGTGCGGACCGAACACGGTTTAGCGGGCGAAATCAATCGATAGAGTATAATTCATCGATCCGAACCGACCGTGTTCTTCTTTTCGCGTGCAACGAAAATCCCGTAACGGCGGACGTAACGCGGATCGCTCGGAATCGTCCGATACCGCGGGGGACACGCGCGCGCGTCTATCGGCTGTTAGGCAAGCTTGCGAAAGCGTCGAGAAGGGGCAATACCAATAAATTATATAATATAGAATAATATATCGGATCGTCGATCGCTCGATAGCCGGAGAGAGAGAGACGAGTACACAGAAATCGTTGTCGATATCGATATCGTGAACGGTCGCGACGCGCGTCCGTCCTGTCGGTCGGTCGGTCGATTTCGGGAACGCGAGCGGTCAGGTTCGGGAGCGTGAAGAAAGCGAAAAAAAATCCGGATGGGAAATGGGAATCGATGCGTGCGTCGAGTGCCAAGGTAAGACGCCCCTGGTGCAGGTCGAACGCTACGTCCCTGATGCACGGAGCCCGTGAGGGCTGGTGGGAAAAGGAGAGGTAGGCTGGCGATCGGGACCAATAGAAGCGCGAGCGAGACGGAACGAGAGCGGCTGGCGGGAGGGGGAGCGGGACGGAGCGAGCGCGCACGAGAGAGGAACGCGAGGGCCGCGGGCCGAGGCAGCAGCGCACACACCATCGAGTATCAACCAGCTGGTTGGCAAGGGAGCCGCGAGCAGTCGCCGTCGCCAGTGAGACGCGGCACCCCGCGAGAGACAGCGTCCGTCGTTTGTTCGTCCGTACGTGCGTACGTACGTCCGTGGTCTCCCTTCCTTCCGCCTGAAACTAGCAATCGTGGTCGTGCGTATGTTCGTCCGTTCGTTCGTTTGCTCCGTGAGTGGTGCGTTTCCTCCGCCTTGCCTCTGTTTCTTCGGACGACACTTGCCCCCGGTCGCGGCCATCGTCTCTCACTGTGGTGTCGACCGAGTATACTATATACACACGTCTCTGTCTCCGTCTCCTTCTACTCGTCCCTCTCTCTCTCTTTCTCTCTCTCTGTCTCCCCCGTTTCACTCTCTTGGTTGTGTGTGTGTGTGCGTGCGTTCGCGAACGAACGAGCCAAGATGGCCGCCGACTCAGGAATGGAGACGTGTCCCTCCCCGGAGATTGCAGACTCCAGGAAGCGGCCGCTCGATTGCGACACGGAAAATGGCGCGACGAAGAGGTCACATTACGGATCAGGTATTTCGATCGCGTGTTGTCAATCGCTTTCCTCCGCTGTCCACCGAAACAAACTCTTCTCCTATGCTGCCTTCCGTCAATCGTTCTTCCCCCACCCGACCCCTCTCTCCCCTCTCGATATATATATATATATATATATATATACACGTATATATCGATATATATACGCGTCCGAACCGATCAAATATACATGTACGATCGTTTTATCCGTCGTCTCTTTCGATCCTTTCTATGCATCTTTCTTTCTTCTTTTCCCTCTCTTTCTGCCCACGGTTTCCCCGTAACGTCGCGCTCTTTACTCTCCGTCCCTCTCTTTTCTCTCTCGCGCGCGCCTTTGACAATCTTGTCTTGCTGGTGCTGCTGCTGTTGACACAGCGAGCGAACGAGCGATCGCTCGCCAGGCAAGCAAGCAACCAGGCAAGCAGGCAGGCAGGCAGGCAGCCGTTCCCTTTCGTTTCCCACTTCTCGAACGGAACGGCTGGCGAACGCGAACACGGTGCACCGCACAGCGGTTCGCGCATCCTCTTGTGCCACGTCTCCTTCTCTTTTCCTCCTCTCGTATATATCTCCCCATTTTTTTTCCTTTCCTCGATCTGTTCGTTCGAGGAGCTCGATTATCTAGTGACCGCGAGCTTTTCTATATATCTTCCTCGCCAGCGGCAACGGTGTGTGTTGTCTTATTTTTTGGTTTTTTCTCTCTTCTCCCAGAGTTTCCCTTCTCTGTTCCGCGTGTACACGTTATTTCCACGATTGACGTTCACGCTTCCACGGTTCCCGTCAACGTCATCGTTGTCATCGTCGCGCTCCCCCTTTCTCCCTTCCCCTCTCCGCGCCCTTGCTCTAAGCTCCCCGCTTCCGTCTCGCGGGGCCCCCCTTCTCTGTCATCGTCATCGTCAACATCGTCCTCTTTTTCTCTCTCTCCTCTTCGTCTTTCCCCGTGACAAACCGTTCGCTGTCATCGTGGCCGAGAACGCTGCCGTTGTCGTCGTCGTCGTCGTCGTCGTCGTTGACTCCTGCGTGGGCGGTCGTGCCTCTGTGGACATCGTTAATGGAGAATCGCTGCCGTGGCGGTGGCTGTCGATCACGCTCGGTGACTCTGCAATTTCGTCGTACCCGCCGACACCGCGGCGTGTACCAGCACGGGAGCGGTCCCGCGGTCCCGTTCTGCCGATCCCGTGCCGATCGTAGCCCGTCGTGCCCGTCGTCGATCGTCGCCGCCGCCGCCGCGTACTACCACCACGCGACAGTGCAGTGTCATCATCGTCGTAGACCCGATACCGTTGCCGCGAAACCATTCGCACGAGGGAACGCGGTCTACGCCGCCGCCGCCGCAGCCACCGCCGCCACCCGTTTCGAGCAACGGTTACTAGGATGTGGCGTATCGGTGAGTTGTCAGGCAGCCGAGCACACCGTTCCGCTGGCGAGGTTGCGGGTCAAGGTCGCCGCGAAGCGAGCCGAGCGAGCGCACAGGGCTTCCATCTGTCAAACAGCTGTTCGCCCTCGACGCAGAGCGAAACTTCGGACGCGCGCGCGGTTCCGCGTCACGCTCGCCATCCTTCGTTATCCTTCGCTATCCTTCGCTCGCCTAATTACGAGACAAATGATACGGCCGCGCCACGTTCGTCTCGTTCTCGTCGGTCCGCGTGCCCCGTCGCCGCGCAACACACACACTCTCTCTCTCTCTCGCTCTCTCTCTTTCTCTCTCCGCGTGTTCCTCGATAGATCTAACCGCGACCTAGTGTACCGTTCTCGTAGACAGAATTGCCCTCATGTACAATGTACTCTTCCTCAGTGTTTCCACTCGACAGAAATGTTTGGGCATACCTTCGTGACATTCTTCTTTAGGCCTCGCAGTGATTTGTTGTGTCAAAGCTTTACGCGAGAGGCTAGAGACCGTAGTACGTCCAAGGGCACTAAAGTTTCAGTTTCTGACAATAGAGATCGCTCGATTTGAACTTTGTGCTGCGTGAGTCGTAGGGGGATTTCTCCTAGTAAAGAAGGTGTGCTGAAACATTTCTTGAAGTTCCGTTCTAAGGCAGGCGGTTTGATAGCGTTGTCGGGAACTTTGTTGCAGGAGGAGATGGATCGTATCATCTCAAGGTTCTGGTCCCCAGTGTGGCCGCAGGAGCTATTATCGGCAAGGGTGGAGACACAATCGCCCAATTACAGAAAGATACGGAAGCAAGAGTCAAAATGTCCAAGTCGCACGACTTCTACCCAGGTATATTGAAGGAATCGTCGCGCTGTGCCATTGTTATGGAATGCGAATACAATGTACTCTCGACTTTCAGGAACCACGGAAAGGGTATGCCTGATAACAGGCAGTTTGGAAGCTATAATGGCAGTTATGGACTTCATTATGGATAAAATTCGTGAGAAACCGGACCTCACGTTGAAAACCACAGTTGACTTTGAATCTGGAAAAACCACGGCAGAGAGAGACAAGCAGGTATTGATAAAGCTTATCATTGTTTTTGCATATGGGCAACTAACGATGTTGATAAACATCTGTATAACAGACGTTGACATCGTTCTTCGTCAACGGTGACCAGTATCTGATCGATCTGTGCTTTCAGGTGAAAATTCTAGTGCCTAACAGCACCGCTGGCATGATAATAGGTAAAGCTGGAAATTACATAAAGCAAATCAAAGAGGAATCTGGTTCTTACGTTCAAATCAGTCAAAAGGCGAAAGATGTATCATTACAAGAGAGGTGTATAACAGTGATTGGAGAGAAAGAGAACAATCGTAGCGCATTAATGATGATATTAGCAAAAGTGGCTGGCGATCCACTGAGTGGTACATGCCCCAACGTTAGTTACGCTGACGTAAGTGGCCCCGTAGCTAATTACAATCCCACAGGCAGTCCCTATGCTCAAGCTCCGACAACCACTCCCACGTACACATCTACGGCCGGCATTAACACAGGTGAGGTTTCAAGTGAACAAAATTTCGTTCGGAGATGGGAGGAAGAAGGTCCTTCTAGCGCGAGTTAGCAATTATCACGGCTTTGCTAATTTCGATTTACAGTGAGCCTTTTGAACGGTGCTGGTCTGAATTTGAACTTGGACTTGGAGGCTGCGATAACAGCGGGCACAGCACCAGTCAGAACGCAGCTGTTGGAACACATAAAGTTAAATTTACGGACTATGGGTTTTGTGGAACCTGCCGCCACGGAGATTCTGTCCGCCTTCGCGACCCTCGCCAAGTACAACATCCTCGGGATGACCATCGGGATGCCCTCCAGCATGAGCTACCTCGGGAACCCGATGGACAGCACCACAACAGCGAACGGTTCGAACAATAACGGCGGCGTGTTCGGGCCGATCGGAACGGTTCCCGCTCTCGGATCCACATCGCCCACACCACGCAATACATTAGACAGATACGAGCCGTTCGATCCGTTCAGACAAAACAACACAGCCGCCAGTGCTATCCATCTAAACAACAATTCGTTCGGCCTGGGCACTAACCAGTTATCACTTGTAAGTAAGAGTCCTACACAGGTAGACGCCAACAGCAAGGAGACCAAGAAAGTAGACATGGAAATTGCAGAGGTTATAGTGGGAGCTATTCTGGGACCCGGTGGTCGTGCCCTCATTGAGATTCAGCACCTAAGTGGCGCCAACATACAAATCTCTAAGAAGGGCATGTTCGCTCCTGGTACCAGGAATCGCATAGTGACTATCACGGGTTATCCTAATGCGATCGACACTGCTCAATATTTGATTGAGCAGAGGATCAGCGAAGAGGAGGCGAAACGTGCACGTCAGAATGCCCTCGCCAGTATGATCCATTGATTTCAAGTACAGCACTTCTGTTCATCCCATTATTGAGCTCCGTTATTCACCTCTTCGCATCGCGAGATGATGCTGCGGTAGCTCTCTTTTCTCCCTTCTTTTGAAACACACTCGCCCGAAACCACCACCAAAACCACCTACCACCCGTTGTCATCTATCGCTACATCACTATAGCGCTTGCATTCTCACATCACCGTTCATGCATCCATCATGGCTCGTCAAAACATTTATCTATCTTTTAAGATTATTACGGTATATGAATATTATATGTTATATATATATATGTATGTATATTTCTATATATATATATATATATATTTCTATATATATGTATATATATATATATGTATATATATGTATATATGGTAACTACTACAATTGTTCTGTGATACACCACGTTACGGGGCTTTATCACGAATAACACAAACACGTACCACATCAGAGTCACATAATATATCTAGTTGTATGGTAGAGCATATTGAAGAAGAGATGGCATGAGAAAAAAAAGAAGAAATCTATTGTTACATTAGAAACGACAATGGCCACGATCCCAGCCATAATATATATATATATATATTATTCTTGGCAGATAGAGTCGGAGATGTTTAGACATGGGGATAATAATTGTTTCGTTTGTGGAGAAAAAGATATCTATACGTATGTACACAAATACGTATATATGTATATTTTCTTTACCACGCAATAGAAGCATAATCTATAACTCGAGACACACTCTTAGTTGTTTACAAGGTCATACAGAACTCATAATTTGAATGACTTCAAATCCGAGGAATCTATAAATAGCATCCCGTGTATATTGTCTACTACTTAACATTCGTCTTTTTTTCTTTTTTTTTTTATACAAAACGATAAAGGAAAAATCTGGTTTTCACGACGTTAATTGTATTGAACTGTTCCTTGAACTATGAAATGATTAGGCTGTTTCTCGAAGCGACCTTTCCTCGAAGAACGCTTCTTAACGTTACAGAGAGAAAAAGAGAGAGAGAGAGAGAGAGAGAGAGAGAGAGAGAGAGAGAGAGAGTATAACCACCTTGGCAAAACCAAAGATCTTACATTTAACGAACCAGAAGAAAATAACTTGGCTGGAAAGATGGATATATACATATATAAAGGGAGATCTATTCTACGTATATAAACATATATTTATATATTTACAATGCTGGCTGGTCCAGCGAGATGTGGGTAACATACATAATACCTTATATTGCCAAGTTTTATTCTCGATCCCAAAGCCTTTATTTCTCAAAAGTATCTTCTTCATCCCATCTATATCTTAAATAGCGTTTAGATTAAATACCTACACAGACAATGTATTAGCGTCGAGTCTCGTTCTTTCTTACCTTAGGGACAAAGGAAGTGTTATCATTCTGTTTTAGGATGCTAGGTGGTGGAAGTTGACACCGTAATTTATCGTTTTGAAAGAAAGTGAGAGCGAGAGAGAGAGAGAGAGAGAAAGGTTCTCGAGCGAATAGTGTTTTCCATATATACAAACAGAAGTCATCACACGACACTGTATAGATTATATTATATACTTCGTACACGAAAAGCATCATTTTGTCTAATTATTTTTAGTTCCAAGGTATATCAGTTGAATACAATTCGAGCTTCGATTCACACACATGAGAGAGAGAGAGAGAGAGAGAGAGAGAGAGAAAGAGAGAGAGAGAGTTTTTACACATATTCGTCGACACTGTTGCCGATTGGCAAATTTGTCGCGACATCGGACACATTGTTTTTCTCGCGTCATTCCTTTATGTTATAGTTGCACAGATACAGTTTTTATTGTCACG